TAGTTTCTGAAGCGCTTTGAGCCGTCTTGAAGAATGTAATAAGGCGCTACATCAAATGCAATATTAATATTGTTATATGAATGCACCTGGTTCCTACAGACTTCCTGTCTGGTTTAATTATGGGAAAACAACAAGACAACAACAACAAGATTCCATTCATAGCGCGCTTTTCACGTCAGGAGGACGTCCCAAGGTGCTGGACAGTTGGGTCAGGATCCGAGCATCGGGGGGAAATAGTCAGGGTGAGGGAAGGGAGGAAGCGAGGAGGGGGTAGAGAGTCGAGAGGGAAGCTGAAGGCACGGTCAAAGAGAAAGGTTTTGAGACCGGCCTTGAAGGAGGAAAGGGAGGAGGCGGCGAAGGCACTGGGGGATAGAGTTCCAGAGCCTCGGGGCTGAGAGGCTGAAGGCCCGGCCACCGATGGTGGGGCGGTTGGTGCGGGGGTTGTGGAGCAGACCGGAGCCAGAGGAGCGGAGGGTACGGGCAGGTAGGGGGATAGTAGGTCGGAGAGGTAGGAGGGAGCAAGGCCGTGAATGGCTTTGTAGGTGAGGATGAGGATCTTGAATTCGATCCTCTGGGGGATGGGGAGCCAGTGGAGGCGAGGTTCTTAGTAAATATAGTGTAGTTTTCACAACAGTCTGCTGCTATAGAAACCATGCATGATTACCCTTGTAGTCATTTTACTTTGTATTATATCAAACCCGCATCAATTATTTCTTGGACTAAATCTGGAGTTGTCCATTACTAGACTGGATTGATTGGGAGCAGTCTGGATATAGATAGCTATAGGTAGCTATTGCCAGAGTCCGAAGCACTGACTGTCCAGCGCCTTGGGGCATCCTCCCGATGTGAAAGGCGCTTTACAAATGTAGTGTTGTTGTTGTATTTAGGAATGGAGGCTTCTTTGTTACGCGTGTGTCTGGTCTAGCTTTTCTCTGCACTGTAAAATATTGTACATTCCAGCCTAATTGACATGGAATGCGTCTCAGTTTACACATGTTATTTAACATCTCCTTAGGCTAATTCCATCTCTTTTACTGTAGGACTTTAGAGAGTGAATGTCTCACATGAACTGTTATTATACTGATCTGGAACTGTTGACTAACCTGAAATCTCAACAAAAAAAAGCACAGCAGTATCCAGGTAATGGAGAGACTTCTAGAGGATCACTGAAGTGAATAGAACTGCAGTGAGAAGCTTTCCAAACGTACATGTGCAGTCCTGTAGCTTAATAATAATAATCATCCTTGCATTTGATATAGCGCTTCACAGACTATATTGTAAAGTGAACTGACTGTATATTTGTGGGTGAAATGCGGCAGCCAATTGCGCAAGCAGTGTCCCACAAACAGTTGTGGATTGAGTAAACAATTTTTTTTAAAGGAATTATTACCCCCGGAAAAGAGATCTGCAATTGACTCGACTAACAACCGGGTTCCTACTTACTGCTAGGTAAACATAGACGTGTTGAGTAAGGAAGCTTGCCAAAAATTTCACCCTACCGGGAATCAAACCCAGGTCTCTCACTTGCGAGGCGAGTGCTCCAACCACTGAGCTACAGGACTCCTTAATAGCTTAGTGGTTAGAGCACTGGTCTCGCAAGTGAGAGGACCTGGGTTCGATTCCTGGGCAAAGCAAAACGTTGGGCAAGTTTCCTTACTCCACTCTCCTCTATTCACCAAGCAGCAAGTAGGAACCCGGTTGTTATTTGATTGGGAGATCGCTTTTCCAGGGATAAGAATCCATTCAAAACAAATAATAGTAATAATTTGGTCACTCAGTCCATGACTGTTTGTGAGACATTGCAGTGTGCTGTGTTTTGCCTACAAAATGTACAGTCAATTCACTTAACAGTATATTCTGTGAAGCCCTTTTGGCGCTGATAAGGCGCTATATCAAATGCAAGGTTTGTTATCATAGACTATCACCAGGGCAATTGATGCAAGGAGAACTTGAAGGGGCAGCTCTCTGAGATAACTTATGTAGTAATGTTTTCTATCAGAGACAGTGAAATTTGTTTAATATCAGATAATTAAATAGTTTGGTTAATTGAAACATTAAGTGGAGACTACACCCAGACTCTTTCAAGAGTAGCTTTGTCTTTCAGGAATACATTGAAATTGTGCCAGGTTTCTCATTTTAAACAAGTACTGTAAAGTTCATAAGTCATTTAATGAATTTTTTTATTTCACACAAAATAGTCAAATCACATTACAGTATCCTATGAAGCATTTTGAGTAATCTCAATAACGTGATAAGGCTCTATATCAAATTCAAGGACTTTGATTTTATTTTTCAACGCCATCCATGATTGATGCAAATTGCCAGAGTGTTCTGTCAGTGATGTAAAAAAATCCTTTCATTTGATATAACTCCTATAATAACATCAAATGTCTTAAAGCACTTCATAAGCAATTGCTGTAAAGTGTTCTGACTGTATTTGTAGGAAAATGTGGCAGACAATTTATTTACAGCACGGTTCCACAAACAGTCACGAAATGTGGTTTATTTGGAGAATTGATTTCCAGCACACTGGAAAAACACTTCTCTCTTCTGTCTGAGATCTTTAAGGGTACCTGGACGGGTTTAACATTATCTGAAAGATGGCACCTCTGAGAATGTAACTGCAATGAAATATCAGCCTAGACTGTAAGATCAACTCCAAAATTCATTTTGAATGAACAGACTTCCAATCTCACAGTGAAACCTGCTAACAACTGTAAAAAATAAAGTAAACAACTGTCTTGTTTTTCCCCCAAATTGACTTTCAAAACGTGCATATCTTGTGGGCTCAGCTTTCTCTCACTTACGCAATATTGCAGGTCTCAGCCATTACCTCTTCCCTGGGCTGAGTGGAGAGAGTGAAAAACTGGGATTTGCAGAAAACCTAGGAATTGTAGCTTGACTAATTTACTGCCACTTTATTTAATTCACTAATGTGGATATTCGCAGATTTGTCTTATAGTAGAATTCATTGAAAATTCACAAGAATAGTGCCTGTTGATCTGATAATGCTTCAAATACTGATACAGAATACTGATAATCTTAAATATAAACCCTAGCTGCTAAGCATTGTCAATCTTATCAAGACAATTTTGCATAAAATTAATAAAAACTGCATAAAATTAAAAGGAGAGTACACACATGGATGCTGTCAGTTTTATTTTCTGTATAGCATCAATCACCAGTGTATTTTCTTTTACAATGAATGGGCTTTTTTCTGCTAGTTTTGTTTCCAGTTTCAGAATTGTTATGTACTTCCCTTCGGAGTCAAAGTTTGAACTTTTATATACTATATATATATCCTTGCATTTGATATAGCACTTTTCACGTCTTCTGGACGTCTCAAAACGCTTTACAGAATATGCTGTAAAGTGAATTGACTGTATATTTGTGGGCGAAACACGGTAGCCAATTGCGCACAGCTGTGTCCCACCAAAAGTTGTGGATTGAAATAACTTATTTATTTATTTGGAAGGATTATTATTAGGCGTGTGGAGTAAGGAAATTTGCCCACGGTTTCGCCCTCTGCCTGGAATTGAACCAGGTGTCTCGCTGGGTTCCAATTGTGGAAAAATCAAAAATCCAAGCTGAATTTGGAAACCGGTTGTTTTTAAGCAAAGTACGGGGAACGAGCACTACTACAGACACGCACGATGGGGACAGAGCAGGGAATGGTGTTAGAGTAGAGCTTCAGAGGGAAAGCCAAGTACCAGCACAGGCACAAAGGGCACGTCCGTGCCTTATTCTTTCCGTTGGGCAAACAGACAATGCGCAGTTTTCTTTATATCTGTTGTACAAAGTGATGCAAAGTCAACCAGCTTCATTCTGGGACAATAAAATTTTCAGCCCTTTTGGTGTACAGCCACCTGTTGAAGATCCCAAGTTGCGACTTCAATTCACATAGACGAAGCCAATGGTTCAAACTACTTTTGTCACTCAATTTGTCAGTTTAAAATGGGGATGTAGAGCTCGAACCCACAACCTTGTGACTGGGGCGCTACTGATTGAGGCAGACGGATGTGTGAATTGTATTTATTTGGAGCTTTGGAGAGTTGATCCTGGGTGCATGACCTTTTTGCACCCAGAATCAGAAACACCTCAATCAATTCTAAAGTAGGTTAAACTTGGGGCAAAGCTCCCTGTCCCATTCTAGGTGTGCTACTAACTGTGCTAGGCTGACGCCCAACACTGATAAAGCAACATGTTAAAAATCCAGCTGGTGGGGAAGTATAGCGCCTTGGGATGTCCTCCTGATGTAAAATGCGCTAAACAAATGCAAGTTGTTGTTGTTGTTGTCTACATACTGACATGTTAAGGTAGTCTGTCAGTCTAAAAAAAGTAAGAAGTGTTATCTCAGTCTGAGTAGTCTTCTCAATCTGAAGCAATCTTTGCAACAATTGTATCTAGTTTATTCAGGCCAGAAACTAGACCTATATAGCTTGCTGCCATAACATGGAAATACATTCATCTATATGAGTTTATCTGAAATAAACCTGCTAATAATTTCAGGCAGTCTCTTGTCATAATAAAAATTATCTATTGTTCTTACTTAATTCCAACCAAAGGTTCAGCAGGTACTTTTTCATAGAACCAATGACCCATTAACTGACTTTTTCTTAATTGCTAACTGCGTTAGTAATTATAACCATACCTACACTATACAGCAGTTTAATTTGAAGATTGTGTGATCAAACCTTGCTTAATGCTTCGTTAGCCATTTTAGATTGCATGGATCAGATGCTTTTGTTTTCTATAATCTCTTCTACTCCATCATGTTGTACACTTATTTAAAGATGACAATTTAATAGACACTAGTTTAGCATCTTAACAGCATAATTAACTAATTATAGTTGGGTGCATAGTAATGCAGATTTTAATGAAGTGCTCTAGGAAAACATGAATAATAATTTTGATCTTCCGAAAGTACTCTCGAGTTCAGCCATATATTAAGTTGCAAGTTGCTGATGCTGTCGCTAATCTAACTTCTGGTTTCTCTTTAGTACTGGATTAATGAATACACTTCATCGCTGGGAATTGGGGTCTTCCACTCAGGAATTGAGGTTTACGGCAGAGGTGAGATGTTTTTAGTTGTCTTAGTTTACTACTTGTTCTAATTGGCAGGAAGTTAAAGTGGGGTTTCTTGGTGTCCCAGCCTTTCCCACAATGTATAAATCAATTTGGATATAGGAATATGGGGAGTAGATCCATTTTTTGATAATTAAGCTAGGAGATGTAATAAATTGTTAAGAGCAAAAGTGTAAAAGGACAGACAAAACAAGCAGATGCCCTGCATTGTGGACACATTGTTCAACACAAAAATGTGGGGTAGAATGATGGATGATAATGTTTCGGGTAGGAAAGCATTGGTGGGAGAGTGATTATATGAACCAAAGGATTTAAAGAGAATCCAAGCAGGTAAATTGCAAAAGCTATGTGCAGAGAGCGGTCATAAATGGGATGCTGAGTGCAAGAGGTGCCCAGTATATAAAAAAGCAAGGAAATATTGATGCAGTGTTAAAAAAAATTGCAGGTAATTTGATATTTTATTGTTAATTTTAGAGTGGCATTGAACTGCAACTTATTAGCCAAGTGACTGTTTGACAATTACAATATTTTTCATAGCAAAATACTAGATGAAATATTTTTAGAATTTGTATATACATGGTGATGGCCAACAAGTTTAGATGTCTTATGGCAGGAAACTAAGCTTTCTTCAGAAAAGAAATGTCAAATCACAAAAACTGTCATGTAGGCTTCCACTCTTAAGCCACAGTTCTAGTCCAACCCAATTGTAAAAAGTTAACTCTTGACGGTTCCAGACAGATTTGACATTCACATCACCCCCAATCTGTCCCTTTCCTTTTTTTTCCTTTCACCTTTAATCTTTGTATGACATCCATTGTTCAGTAACACTACCGACCTTGTACTAAGGTGGCAGAAGAATCTGTAATATACGTCATCTATTTTTTTAAAAAATGATTTCCTCCCTTGTTATAGTGCAAAGACTGAAGAACCTGGTTTGTTAATATGAAATGTATGTATGTCAAAATTAGAAAACTGTCTGTTTATGTTTACATATAATTTAGATTTAATCTGTGCTGAAACTGGTTACTTGTATGTTACAACAAAGTAATTGTGATCAATCCAGCTTCATTAACTTTAGAGTAGAAACATGCTGCTAAGACCAATCATTCTGCTACAGCCTGTTTGTTAATTTTCTTTAGAGTTTGCCTATGGTGGCCATCCTTACCCATTTTCAGGAATATTTGAGATCACTCCTGGAGACTCAACAGAACTAGGAGAAACATTCAAATTTAAGTAAGTAGTATCCAAGATCATATTTTAATATGCTGAAAAATGCAATATTAATTTAACAATTGTTGGTCTTGTTTTATGCAAATTTAATGTTTGTGCCCTCAGTATAGCTACTCCATTATGTTTAGTTGTGTGCAAGCATTGGAGTCCCAGGTTAATATAGGGAAGCCCTGGATCCACTTTATCAGTAATATAATCAAACTGTGGAGAAAATGGCCATCTTCTAGGTTGTCGGATCGCTGCTTATCTTGCTTCCTGTACATTACAGATGTGTGCCATAAACGAGTAGTGCTCCTGACATACTTCCTTTATGCACAATGCACAGGATGTCAGTGGCAACCCAATGACCCAAAGATGATCATTTTTTTAATATGAAAATCTGGTTATTCAGCACTGGAAGTGGGGTGCAACTCCGTTTAATGCATGTCAACATGGCACAATTGCTATAAGCTAAACCAGGGGAGGGAGAAGGAGAGCTCCTCAGGAATGCCATCTAATGAACGCTTGTTGGACTTTGTGTTCATTTTTTGGTCTGCATCATAACCAAAGCTGACATGCATTAATTCATGCAGCTTTTAAGTGATTCAAATGAATGTCTGCATAAATGCACTTGCAGGTTTTCTGGCAAAGTACAATACTTGGTTGTCAGCCTGATTTAGTTGGTTTCAAGGCCCATGTTCTACCTTTGAACTAATAGTCTTCGATGACACTCAAATACAGTGCTGGGGGAGTGCTGCATTTAGTGCTGCATGTGGTGACTATTTGTAGTCTTAACAGGGCAGCCAATTTGTGCACAGCAATATCCCATAAATTGCCATGAACTGAATGACAAATTTTATTTGGGAGATTATTGGCAGGACACTGGGAAAAACTCCCTTCTCTCGTACCATGGGAATTTAGCATCCACCTGAATGGCCACGTGGGTTTTGGTTTAATGTTTCATCCAAAGGACAGCAACTCCAATAATACATCACATCCCCCAGCACTTCATTGGGGGTGACTTAGTCTGTTCTGTGCCATTATCCTAATAGTTTGCTTGTGCTTGGGCTTTAGCTATAGACGGTTGGGCAAAATTGAAGATTTAGCAACAATTGATAGTGTGTTGAAACTTTATTAAATTTATTAGAGAATATTAAGTGTTATTTCTGCTTTTTTAAAAAAAACTAGACTGTTAAATTCATTTTCCTGCTTTCGTCCTCAGGGAAGCAATAGTAATGGGTAGTACGGATTTTACAGAAGATGATGTAGAGCGCATTGTGGAGGAGCTTGGAAAGGAATACAAAGGAAATGCCTATCATCTAATGCATAAAAACTGCAACCACTTTTCTTCAGCAATTTCTGAGGCAAGAACATTTTGGTTCATGGGAAGAATTTCTCCAGAGTTTTGTTCTTTTACGATATTGTTTTATATTAAATGGCTGTTAAATATGGTGGTGTCATAAAGATGAAATAATTTAGGATGAATATTTTCAAGCCCACTTTCTCCTGTATCAATTAGAGGAAGATATTGATTATCCATTTGTATCTATGGTTTTCCTATGATTATACTTACCTAGTCAAAACCTGCATACTCTCCATTATCAATATAGGAACAAATAATTTCTAATTTTGGTTGAAGTTTCTGGTATGACATGAGTACATGTATTACAAAGATGAAGTAGAAACTTTAAAGCAATGCCTTCATAGATGATAGAATAAAAATTGTCAGACACTGAGTGCAGCAGACACTTGGCTGACCAAAGAAACCTTTTAATCATAACATATATAAAACAGCTCTGCATGCTTTGCAAAGCTATAATTTCTCTTAATAGTTTAATTATATTGCCCAGCAACCTTCTATAATCTGTCAGGGAAGCAATAAATATTATTTTGTGATAGACTTTTGTCAGCTCAGAGAATGGAAGATCGAAAAAACTAGATATTTAATGGAGTGAAGTCAATTTCTAACATAACGGCAATAATTACAGCTTTAATGGGATTAGTGCTCCCTCTTGTGCATTTATAGTATTGTGGCTTTTCCACACAGGAAGGTTCACTGAAACCTGGTTGATGGGGAAGGAACAATGCAGTAAATTTCACATTGTGATCTTGATGATGTTCACATTACTGATATTCTGCAAAAATTAAGATGAATGAGAAGATGTATGTTTGTTTTGAGACACTATTTAGTCAAGTCATTTCTACAGACCTTTCCTTCCTCCCAGCCAAACCGGATCTTCATTAATTATTGCTTAGTTTATAATAGTGCTTAACTTTTTCATTTTTATAATGCATGCGAGCGGATTAATCAGAAGCAAACCATAACTTCTGCCTTTTTTTAAAAAAAAAGTGCCTGAGGTTGTGAGGTCACATAGTGCATTAATTCTAAGTGTGATGCATCATTCAGTAGTATGTTGTTTAGGGTAGACGGTGAGTTCCCAATTTCATACTAATAAATTGAAGTACAAGTACATTCTGCATATTGAGGACAAATTGCCAGATTGTGCACAAACACCGCCTAGTGGCTGGTTGCATATAGGCAGTGAGCTGGTCAACCTGTTGGGTGGGGGAATGGTGGGCAAATGCAAAATGTGTAGTCATGATTATGCCGTTATTAAAGCAAACGTAGTGGTTTATAGAAAAAATATAACACCACAAAAAGTAGTTTGCAGTTTTTCTTTATGGAAGTTCCCACTTTTTAACCTTCCTGCTGATGTAAAGACATTTAAAAGGCAATTAGCAAACTTTTTGAAGGGGAAAGTGCAGGCAATTGAAAGGAGAGTAACAGCATGATTTTATCAGATAAATTGAGGGTCTCCCCATAGTGATCAACTGAAAGAAAAGTGAATTGGCTTCACAGGCCTTCAATTGCTTCTTTGATAGTACAAGACTTAAATCATCACTGATTTGTGTTTTTACATTAGCAGCACTACTACTGTATACTCAGTGCCTTGGCCAATTGTAAAGCAGTATTTCTCGCTTGAATGGATTTTTGTAACATTAAAACTGAACACTGCTTAATTTGGAACCTTTTTTCAAAGCATGTCTTTATATTTTACAATAGATCCTTTGTGGAAAGGAAATACCTCGCTGGGTGAACAGACTCGCCCACTTCAGTTCCTGCATTCCCTTTCTCCAGAGCTGCTTACCGAAGGAATGGCTCACGCCAGCCGCCCTGCAGTCCAGCATCAGCCAGGAGCTGCGTGAGGAGCAGGAGGAAGCTGAAGGTGCGGCAGCTTCCGCCTCTGCCTCAGCCTCCACATCTACTTTACCCAGACCGGGCCACCATACCAAACTATGATGCTAACGAGTGATCCTGAACTGACTTTCTACTTGTTGGACTGACTTTTTATNAAAAATAACTGTCACAATCAATCAAATTGCTCTATGGGGAAGTGCTGAACATTCCTTTTGTTGTTGAATTTTAGTTTGTGTTTTTGTAATGGAAATTCACCACCTCTTTCTAATAGCTTGGACGATCACTGTAAAGAATTTCAAGATATATTCAGTATTTCCAATAATTGTTTACAAATCCCATGTTGCAAATTAACTGGGATTAACACTAACAGCGTGTAACAGTGATACTGGTTTGTATCAATGGGTTGCTGTTGTAGACTGGTACAATTGTGACATTAGACATACACCAGTGAGTATTCTGTGGCAAGTAAACACTTTCATCTATCCCTTTTCCTCTTCTCCCCTCTAGTTAAGGTATAATACTGTTTCCATTTTCAAGATTAATGTTCAAAAGAAATATTCGTATTTTTCAGAGAATGTATCCTCAAATTATGAATTACTGAGGATCAATTCTGAAATATGCTGCCAAAAGGGTACCAGTCTATAACTGCTGAAGTTAAAATACTATTCTGCTATGTAGAGTGAGTACAAAAGTCACAGTGAGCAATAAGCCTTTCACCAGCAATCTAAGGGAGTCTAAATTTTGTTTCATTCAAATATTTATTGTGTGTTTTTTGAGGAAGGGAGAGGAGAAGAGACTGAGACGCACATCTTCTGCTGCATAGGCAGATATTGAAACAAACCATTCTAGTTTCATTACTGGTTAGAGTGCCTCATCGTATTAGTGCTAAATATGGTCCTTTTAAACTTTACAGTATCGAGAGTTACAGCCTCAGGAATTGTGAACTCTGTTGGAGCTCCTGCCTTATATTCATTTCTAAATTAGACTGTAGGTGGGATTAGCACTTTAAAACGTAAAGGTTAGACTACTGTGAATCATGAAATGCTAGGTAAAAAAATCATAATTTTTTAAAAAATAAACTCCTTTGTTGGTGCAAAGGTTATTATGAAAATTTTATTTTTCAAAAGTGATTTACAGTATTCTGACAAGAGACGGTGTTTTGATCATGTTTGCTGTACCAGCTGGCCTGGGATGAATGATGTAGCTGTCCCAAACCTGGTGCCGCCCTTCATTTAGTTTGTAAACTCAGTGTTCATTTCAGCAACCCTTAAAGCAGGCAATGCTCTGTACTGCCATGTGCCTTAGAAAGTTTGTAACAGGAAATTACAGGCTATCCTAGACATATATAAGGGGACCTAAAGGGACATTATTGTATTCCTATGCTTTGCAATCATTTGTACAAATCCTCCTTGGCCTTGCTTAATGTGACTGCATAAATATCTAAGCAAATTATTAATCGCTGTAATTACTTTGCAGAAAGATCAATCTTAAACCATTGAAGTTGAAATGTGCTTGATATAATCGCGTAAAAGAACGTAGGGTTGGAAAGATTACTTGCAGAAGTTGTCAAGTAAACAGGGAAGTCTAAATGAATTCTTGCGTGCTATGTGTAGAAGACCAAATAACCTTTGTCAGCTCTTGTTTTGTACAGTTCTGACTGAGATTAGTTTGATTCTGGAAATAATTCCATTTGTGGTTCAATTATCCTGCCATTCATTGTGATGCTGTGCAACAAATATCTCTGATACTGCCCAACGTTTATTGAGCACTGCAACAGGTAACCATTACCTAGCAGCGCAGCATGCTAGTGCACCAGGATATTGCTCCAGATACAGTGCTGAATCTAATCCTGTGATTATCCACACTCTGAATTTCCTAATTTAGCCATGGAGCAACTGAGAAAGAAAATCCAAGGACAAGTCATCCTCATCAGCCTCTTACTGACTAATCTGCCTCTTATTGACCAGTTCAGTAGCATAGATTTTCTGTTACCTTTGTGAAGGACCTCAAAAGGGTGATGTAAGGGAAAACTGAAAAAAAAGATGAGGCTTCTCTTTGGTAACAGAGTTACACTTGCACACTGAAACTCATTAATCATCTTCTCCAAAAACACTGTCCAAGATCCACACACTCCTTTTTGTTTTACATGGTTTAAAAATCTTGGTGATGAATACTCAAGGCCATAAATATCACATGCTTTATAATTGAATTTGTCTGATTCTCTAAATTGATAGATTTCAGGCTACAGTCTGATGTACTCCTGTATATTGTGAATGATCTTTTTTAAAAAAAATTCCCAGTTGAAGCCCATGTTTATTGTTATATTGTCTATAGAGCACAACATAGGGGCTAGACTCTATGTACTAAGGTAATGGAAGGCATGTGCATTTAATTGGAAGCAATAATGGACAATAGCATGTACTCATTCCCTTTTGTCTTCTCCATGGTGGGAGTAATTCTCTCTCCACACTGGTTCTGATTGCCCCTGCCCTCATTCCATGACTACTTTTCAGGTCTCCTGCATGCCGGATGTCCTTTATTCCTCAGTTTTCTTCCATTCCCTCATCAATGCAAATTTGGTTGCTCAACATAAAATCTCTGCATACTTCCCTGCTGCGAAATTAATGCAGGGAATGCCAATAGAAACTCCTCCATCCTGCACTCATTCTAAAATTGAGCGCTGGAGCTTCTGGGCCAGACTTGAGTATAGATGGTGCAAAAACAGAAGTCGCTGGGAACACTCAGCAGATTAGGCAGCATCTATGAAGAAAGGAAAGCGAGTCAACATTTTGGATCCCTGACCCTTCATCAGACCTGGGGCATGTTGGGAGGGAGAGAAAGTAACATGTCCCAGTTCTCCCTTTCTTCATAGATGCTGCATGCCTGCTGAGTGTTCCCAGCGATTTCTGTTTTTGTTTCAGATTTCCAGCATCTGCAGTATTTTGTGTTGAGTATAGATGAGGCTAGCATATACCAAAATCTTGTGTTCCTTGGATTTGTCTCACGATGAAAGGAGTAGTGATATTTCACTGATGTTGGGAAGTTGAAAAAATAGGGGAGGGGAACTGCCTTATTCTTCAGGCAAGTGAGTAAAATATTTCAGTTGGGGCAGGGGCAAGTAACCATCATAAATCTAGATTCCTGCTTTACATTAATTGTTGGAGTGGATAGGGCATTGGTAAAAAGCCACTTGTCCGATCAACTTTAGGTTGGGATTATCTGCAGCGGATAAGGATTCTTGTGGCATTATATTAAAGTACAGTAAAATGGCCTTCAACATGAACTTGGACTAAGCGCTAAATTGTACTTAGACTCTTGCAACAATATAGTGTTGCATTCAGATTCTTTCTGTTTGTGAGGTCTGCTGGTGCTGTATATAGCCCGAGGTAAACACTGCATGTCCACACAAAACTGCCTCTTAATTGGTGCAGAAAAAAATAAGTACTCAATTGTCAGCTTGGCAATAGGTATTTCTGTGAGGTGCCTTTTAATTGTGACATAGAGCCTAATGATAACACAGGCCAGTTTATTCATAAATAACTCTAGTCACATTTTCCACTCCTGTAGCTGGACATAAGATGAATGCATTTGATATCTATTTAATTAAAAAAGGCGACAGTCCGTTTATCCAAGATCTTGCAAACTTCAAACTTAGTTCTTGTATTTTATTTTTGAACAAAATGATGTGATGGCAGCATTAAAAACTTGTTTGAAATAATCTGCTTGGTTTTCATCTTGCTATAACGTCATACACCAACTAACTGCAGCCTACATATTTGTTTACTAAAATGGTTGTCAAGAAAGACTATTCGGATTTTGTTAACTTCAATATATTGGTGACGATCAATTGAGTATTTGGGGTTGGTTTCTCATTCTAACCTCTCTGGATTCCTGTCAGATTTCTAAGAATTCTCTGGATTGATATTTGGACATTATCAAAACCAGGTTAGATCATACCGATTATCAGTCATTGTATCACCTATAAACCCCCAGTACCTCTGTGACCTTCTCCAGTGTCAAACTAAGGTGTGCCGTGCGTTCTTCAATGAGTCGCACATCATTGGCAGCCAAGCCATCAGCCATTATGCCCCTACCTTCTGGAATATTCCTTGCCTAAATCTTTCCACTTCACGTATTCTTTTATAGTCTTTAAAAGACAGTTGAGAACCTACCACTTCCACTGTGCTACTGTCATCTGTTTCTTCCTTCTTCCAGCTCGGACTCTGGTACCAACTCTGTAAAGCTCTACTGGCTTCCCATCATACAGAGGATACAGTTCAAGATCCTGGTCCTCACCTTCAAAGCCCTCCATGGTCTTGCTCCCCACTACCTCTCAGACTTCCTAACCCCCTACCATCCTGTTCGCTCCCTCCGCTCAACGGGCTCAGGGCTGCTTCACATCCCCCGCCTTGCTCACCCCATGATCAATGTATAAGGCACAGCCTATCTTCCAGACACTGCGCTGAGGATCCTTATTGGCTTCTATACTCTCTCAATCAACAGTAATGCCCTGTAAACTCAAGCATCTCCCCCAAACTATTAGAGTAGTGTATAATTCTCCTTTTTGAATATTGGGAATGCATTATCCTCACATTCGTAACTCACTTCCTGGCAGGTTGTGGGACATTGCACAAATTAACTTGTGCTTTTGCTCACAAAATACACGGCATTTTACAATATATCCTGCGAAGTACTTCGTAGACAAATGCGGCTGCTATTTGTAACCATGTTCATCTCAAGCTGCTGATGTGTAAGTACTCAAGGTACGACAGGAGATGAAGTCTGTTCTGATTTCAGGTTGGTAAGGTTGAATGGTAAGAGCATTGCAAAGGAGTGCAATTTTAAACATCCTTTCTTGATAAATTGTTTATCCACAATGATCCAGCTATTTGACAAGAAACCAGTCAAGGTTTCTATAGGTAACATTAACTCAAGTGAAGGGCATTCTGTTAAATAACATTGTAGTAATCTCTAGTTAATACTTTCAATTGTTATTAACTAAATTGGATTTATATTATCTCCTCAATTCTGAAATCCAGTCTTTGATTGGATATATTTTTCTTAATTTAAATTGAGTGATTAACAGAAAATGAAAGAATTGACCTTTTATTCCAACCAAAACATTTGATTGCATTCCTCAATTTACACAAAAGAAAGTTGCGTTGATGGCAGACCTGCAGTTTTCAAATAACCTGCCCTCCATCAATGTTCTTTTCTGTAGCCGCAGAATTGTACTGTCATACAACATCCCCTGAGATCTCACTCTTGGCTGTTTTCATGTGAGCTTTGACCATGAATACAGATAAACAGATTGGTGTAGAGCTGCCTGGATTATAAGGTACTGTACGAGTAGCAACGTTAACATAAATACAAATTGACTTGCATTGTTAATAGAAGAAAATTAAAATGTTTCAGTTCCAAATTGAATAATGGCTTAATCCTAAATTTCACCGACAGCTGTCTGAACCCAAAGTGGTACATACCATGGTTCTGGTCTGCAACCCAACTTGTGCTTTGTTTAATTTTGAGCGGAAGTTAAACTGTGCTCCTTGAGGATTCTTAATGTGAATTATACGTGT